ATATATATATATATATATATATATACACACACACACACAATATTTACTTATTTATTTTTGAGAGAGAGAGAGAGAGAGAGATCCAGGCAGGGATGGGCAGAGAATGGGAGAGAGAATCCCAAGTTCACTGTGTGCTATCAGCACAGAGCCCACTGCCAGGCTTGAATTCATGAACCTTGAGATTATGACCTGAGCCAAAACCAAAAGTTGAATGTAACCAACTGAGCCACCCAAGTGCCCCATGGCAATTTCTTATAGCAGCCACAGGAAATAGATACAGTTACTAAGAGAGTTGGGCTAATATTACCACTATGATTGTAGATTTTTGGGGTATTTTCTTTATAGTTGTCAGTCTGTGCTTTATACAATTCAAACTTATAGATTTTATTTGTATGTGTGGAATTATATGGGGATAGCTGTATGCAGAACTCATTGAATCTACACCCCACATAAACTGTCCTTCAAGTGACATGTTGTTTCAGTAAGACATGTTTTGGTAAGATATGACATTCCCCTATGCTTCTACACATATGTTTAGAAACATTTATATCTTAATGAGAGAAGATGTTAGCTGAAGGATGCAAAAAAAATAGATTTATGATAGAAAGGTAGAATTATAGAAGATTAACCTTTATTTATGAATAAATATGACTCATCTCTAGGTATTCTATTCTGCCTTAAAAACCTATCTTTTATATTAATATAGCTATAACATCTTGCATTTCCTTAATTTTTTGTGACCTATGTTTTCCCATTTTTTAATTTAAAAAATTTATTCATTAATATATTAAAAATAATAAACCTATTGCATGTTAACACACATAACATTATTTTTTATGAACATTAGGCATACCCCCCCCCAAAAAAAAACCATAACAAGAAAGGGGCCATCGTTAGGGAAACATACAATTATTTTTTCTTTCTATATCCCTGTATTTGAAGTGAATATCTTTGAAGCAGGAGCTATTCATAAACTTTTTATCTTTTAATAAGAAAATTGAGTCCACTTACATTTAATGAATTAATTTTATATATCCTGGTTTGTATCTTCCATCGTACTATTTTTTAAAAATTTGGAAAACAAGCTTATTGTTCTTTTCTATCTTTCTTTTGCATCTTAGAAGGAGAGAAGAGAATGAGGCAGAAAAATTAGTTAAAGGAACAATGACTGGGTTGGATCATATCTGGGTCATAAGACAAGTCTCAAAGCATTACCATGAATCACATAAAGATCTTCTTCCATTCCAAAGGTTGCTTTTTGGTTTTGTTGATTTTTTTTCCTTCACTGTGCTGAAGCTTTTTATCTCGATGAAGTCTCAATAGTTTATTTTTGCTTTTGTTTCCCTTGCCTCAGGAGACATATCTAGTAAGAAGTGGCTACAGGGGCGCCTGGGTGGCGCAGTCGGTTAAGTGTCCGACTTCAGCCAGGTCACGATCTCGCGGTCCGGGAGTTCGAGCCCCGCGTCAGGCTCTGGGCTGATGGCTCGGAGCCTGGAGCCTGTTTCCGATTCTGTGTCTCCCTCTCTCTCTGCCCCTCCCCCGTTCATGCTCTGTCTCTCTCTGTCCCAAAAATAAATAAACGTTGAAAAAAAAATTTAAAAAAAAAAGAAGTGGCTACAGTTGATGTCAAAGAGATTACTGCCTGTGCTCTCCTCTAGGATTTTGATGGTTTCGTGTCTCACATTTAGGTCTTTCATCCATGTTGAATTTATTTTTGTGTATGGTGTTAGAAAGTGGTCTAATTTCATTCTTTTGCATGTTGCTGTCTAGTGTTCCCAACACCATTTGTTGAACAGACTGTCTTTTTTCCCATTACATATTCTTCCCTGCTTTGTAAAGGATTAGTTGACCATATAGTTGTGGGTTCATTTCTGAGGTTTCTATTCTGTTCCATTGATTTATGTGTTTGTTTTCATGCCAGTACCAAACAGTCTTGATAACTACAGCTTTGCAATATAACTCGAGGTCCAGAATTGTGATGCCTCCAGCTTTGCTTTTCTTTTGCCAGATTACTTTGGCTATTTAGCATCTTTTGTGATTTCATACAAATTTTAACATTGTTTGTTCTAGCTCAGTGAAAAATGATGATGGTATTTTTATAGGGATTGCATTAAATTTGTAGATTGCTTTGGGTAGTATAGACATTTTAACAGTATTTGTTCTTCCAATCCATGAGCATGGAATATTTTTCCATTTCTTTGTGTCCACTTCAATTTTTTTCATAAGTACTTTACAGTTTTCAGACTGCAGATCTTTTACCTCTTTGCTTAGGTTTATTCCTAGATATCTTATTGTTTTGGTGCAATTGTAAATGGGATCAATTCCTCAACTTCTCCTTCTGTTGCTTCATTATTGGTGTATAGAAATGCAACAGGTTTCTACACATTGATTTTGTATCCTGCAACTTTGCTGAATTTGTGTATCAGTTCTAGCAAGTTTTTGCTGGAGTCTTTTGGCCTTTCTGTATAGAGTATCATTTTGCAATGGGAGAAGATTTTTGCATATTACATA